TATGGTATGGAATAGCTCTTTGGTCAGTTTGGGTTAGCTGTCCTAGCTGTGCTGTACTCCCAGCTTGTTATGCACCTGGCCGAGCAGGAGAAGCTCAAAAAGTCCTTGAGTAGTCTGAGCACTACTTGGCAACAACTAAAAACATCAGTGTGTTATCAACATTCTTCTGGTACTAAATCCAAAACACAGCACTATGCTAGCTACTATGAAGAAAATTAACTCTATCCCAGCCAAAATCAGGACAACCTTCTTTTCAGAGAATCATGTATTTGATTGATTACCAAACTAGTAAGGCAATTTTCTGACTCTCAAAGATTTCCCCCTGCTGCCTCTTGCAAATAAACTACATTCTGGCTTTAAACCTGTCAGGTTTAAAAATCAAATCGAACAAAATAGTAATTCTGGGGAGCTTAAATTTGCAGATACCCTTTTTATAAGCTTAATATAATCAATACTTTGAATCTATTTCAGCCACCTAACAGTTTCTGACAGTATGAGGTGTTTATTTATTCAAATGGTCAGATGGTTAAAGCAGAAGAGTGATGAGACAAACTAACTGTGCAAGCAGCGTCATGGAATAACACCACGAATGCCATTGGTGTCAAGTGAGTTTATGATCAAACTTAGATATGCACAAGTGTGAGAGTCTGACATGTTATTCTTCAAAAAGCTCCATATTTGTATATATCTATCTACTGAATAATCATTGAAGCAGAATACAAGTTCCATTAAAGTCAAACACGCTTAGAGAAGATTAATAAGTGGAGCACAAATTCGCATCTGTGGGCAAATGCTGTGCAAGTAAATATTAAAATGTGCCAATTTATAAGGTCTGGACCATATCATTCCTTCCCTCCAGCAACATGGATTAAGAAGAACTGAAAGAAGACCAAAGAATCTGAAGCCCTCTGGCACTCCCCTAAGAAATCTTTTCCTTATTTAATCTAAAAAGTACAGGAAAATTTAAAAAGCAACCCTACTGACCAGCTTCACTTGACCTTGCTTTCTTAAGCAACAAATACACCCTGAAGAAAAAAACGAAAACCAAACCAAATGCTACACAATGCTTTGAATAAAACACAAATTCAAATGAGTTTGTGACACCCATTTACATAAGCAATTTAGCTCTTTTGCCAACTAGTTCCAATTACTACTAAATATTCTGTTTGTTACAATCATGCTTCTAAAAAGAGAAAGTCCTATTTTAGTTCTGCGCTCTCACACTTCAGTTTAACTACACTTTCTTTATCCTGCAGATGTAAAAAACCCAAAAGTGCACTATCTTTGGAACAGCAAGAGTGGGGCAGAATAACAAGGAACTAGAGCTGTATATGCCTTTTAAAAACTCCTTTATCACTGCAATGAATAGTTTACATTTCAGTTGCAAAAGACAAATCCCACCCAGCAATCCCTTATAGTTAATATGACTTTAGAAAGACTTCTGTATCTTAAAGATATCTTGATTTAAAAATATTTTTCAAATGGTTCTTTTGTCTTAAGAAATTGTAAAACTTTACTATTGACATGTCAACTCAAAATGGCAATTGCAATCACTCTGTACGTTAATAACATATTTATCTCTTGGAAACTGTTTGGGACATATGGAATGTTATCCTTTAGATAAGATTTAATAACTGAAAATTAACAGAACTGACTTAAATCAGAATTTTGCTTTAGTAGTAACAGTAACCTCTAAAAAAATAACTGATAGGAATGATTATTCATACCAGGAAATACATCAAACTAGCAGGTATCTAACATAAGACAAATAAAGATCAAAAGCCCTTTGCTTGGAAATAATCTGTACCAGAGCTGTCAGAGGTACAGCGTTCCTGCTTAGCTCATGTAGCATTTTTTTCTCTCTGTGACCTTGCAAGAAAAATTTGTATGACTCCCTTCCTTCTAGTCAAGTCCTGAGATAAGATTTGCCCCATGATGCACCTGGTTTATCAAAGGCTCAGGCAAGGCCGAAATGTACCTGCTGGCAGGTTAAAAGCTCAGCATGTCTGTCTGGAGTTAGGCTTTAGAAAGTATTTTTCTCAGAATAGGTGGACAAATGCCAAGAAACACCTTGTGAAAACTACGTGTAGCACTTATGCTAGAACTTGCCAACTTTCATCAAAAATTCGTGCAGTTCTGATGCAGAATCATCTGTCTAGGCTTTGCCTGGAAAGCTCACAAATCTCTTCTCTCCAGTCTCACTCCAGCCTGCACTGAATTTCAATCTTGTTAGAAAAACTAAAAGCAGGTGACTTTTATGCAATCTAGGCATGGACATTTTCCATAGGTCTCCAATTCCCTTTTCCCAATCCAATATAAGTCTCAAAAACAAGTTGCCCCATCAGTCTCAACAGTGAAAAGAATTCTGTAGAATTTATCTGGGAAAAATAAAACAAACAAAAAAAA